AGGACCAGCAAAGGACCAGCCAAGGACCAGCCAAGGACCAGCCAAGGACCAGCAAAGGACAAGCCAGGGACTAGCCAATGACCAGCAAAGGACAAGCCAAGGACTAGCCAATGACCAGCAAAGGACAAGCCAAGGACTAGCCAATGACCAGCAAAGGACAAGCCAAGGACTAGCCAATGACCAGCAAAGGACTAGCCAAGGACCAGCAAAGGACAAGCCAGGGACTAGCCAATGACCAGCAAAGGACAAGCCAAGGACCAGCAAAGGACCAACCAGGGGTCCATCAATGAAAGTGGGGACATTTTGAATGACTACTACTCTATTATCTCAGAGTTTTTCAACAGCTGTTTTCACCAGGTGCATTAATGTGTTTTACGTGTTTCAACATTTGTTAATGCAATAAATGACCTTTGGATTTAAATAACACCACTGAGCCTCCCCTGTTTCAGAAAGCAGCAGCCGCCACTGATAAGCGTGCAGTTTGGCTCCCACTTTAGAACAGGTTTTTCAACAAATGGGCCACATGTCACTGGTACCAGGTACTGCTGAAGAGTGAAATCAGGATCTCTATTAGCTTTGTTACCAGACTGAAGAATGAATGGCTCAGAAGTTTCTTGGCTGCTTTAAATTTGGTGCACTGCAATGGCAGAAATACTTTATGTGGCTCTATAAACAGATTTTTATATATATTTCTTTTCAGGTGTATCTTCTCTGCTGGCGGTGAATCAGACTTGCTCTCTGGACAGAAAAGACACCTCGGTCATCGCTACACCTCCTCCCACCCAGAGAACTGTTTCTTCCCCTTGCCTTCCTCCACTGAGTCCATCAAACCCCATCCTGTTGGCCACAGAGGAGATTATAACAAGTACCATAACGGCCAAGGGTCATCTTCTGCAAATGCTCAAGCAGCAACAACAAACTCTGAGTTACAAGGTGGAAGCTCGAGGCAGGGGATGGTCCTGGGATGGGATGAAGGATGGCCGCACCCAGAGAATACATCCTCTGCTTACTGGAGCGTTAAAAGGGCAGAGGAAGAGGGTGACGTTCAGGAAGTGGCCAGTAGGAGCAGCAGTCAGGCACAAGAGGATAGTACGCCTTCTGCCTACGACAACCTGGACAGAACCTCTCTGCCTCACGCCATGCAGAATGTTCCCATGGAGAAGTCTGGTTCGCCTGCTCCAGGAACAAATGCTGAAATGTGTGAAGCAGGGGCAGATCAAGGACTGGGTAAGGAAGGAGAATCCTCTTCCTCATGGTCTTCCTGTGAAGTTCTTCCATTAGATGAGAACAATGATGATCTGAGTGCAGATAGTCCTTATATTCCACCAAAGAGATCCAAAATGTTGCCTTTGGGTCAGAAAAGAAAAAGGGAAAGCCGTGAAAAAGATGATCATGAAGATCATGTTGACACTCACCATCCCAGCTCCTGGGCTTCCTGTTCTGTCATCAGCTTCAGCCCGCTCAGCACGGGGAGTTCTGAGGTTTTCCTCCCTTCAGGACCTCCACCTCTTCAGCTTCAAGAGTCTCACTTAGAGCTGAGGGAGAATCATTCACTGGTGGCCAAGCTAAGGCAGCAAATGGCTCAGCAAAAGGCAGAGTACCAGAGCAGGATTGAGAGGTAAGGACTTATGCTGTATATGAACGTTTAACATCCATTTTGTCCCCCTTTCCTATTACCTCTAGACTTCCTCAGAACTTGCCAAGGTCTAAAGGTACCCAACGTCTTCTAATATTATGGTAGGAAAAAAAGTCCCATTGTCTGGCCTGATGATGCAGAACTTTCAGGAGGCGAGGTACACTACAAGAGAAGGATTACAACTTTTCAAATAGTTACAAAACTCAAGGAAGGACATACATTTGAAATCTAGTTTATTTATCAAAACAATTAGTTTCATCCAGAAAATTTCTTTTTTCTTTTTTTTTTATTCTTTATTTCGAACATGCAAGAGTAAAAACAAAAAAACAATAAAACAATGTTTAAAAACATTGGAGAGAAAAACAACAAACAAGGTGCCCTTCTTTCCTAAATTAATATACCTCCATTACATGTGCGAAAAGGAGTAGAAAGAAGTAAACTTATGTACTCCTACCCCTTTAATTCTTGTATTTCTTTAACTTACAATATTTATAATTATGTTGCTATATATATCCATATAAATACATACCTACCTACACATAAACATACATAAATATGTATACACAAACCAAAATAAATAGTTTTTCAAGATGATGCAAAGTTAAATGTGACTCTGTTACCATTAGTTATAAAACTAATAAAATGAAGTCTAAGGAAGTTATCATCCAGAATTGTAGAATTGTAATTTTAATAAGGTAGAGCAGTAAAACTTCTGGCCTTAACATTTTCTCCTGCATTACTTTTATTTTTATACTTGATGTAGTTTTAAAAATAGTACTTTTACATTTTTAACTGAGTAAAAAGCTGAAGTTGATTCTCTAAGTTCTATAAAAGCCTTTTTAAACAGCAGGATTTATATTTTTTCTTGAGTAATAAACATCAAAGCGTCTCTGTCATTAACATTTTGAAAAGGCTGATATGGGTGGTTAAGCTTCACTGCTACGACGGAGTATCAGGGCCACACATGAAGAGAAAAAATATTTTTGCCATGACGAGTTTAAAGTCGACATGTCGAGTTTAATCTCGTCATGGCAAAAATATTTTTTCTCTTCATGTGTGGCCCTAATACTCCGTCGTACACTGCGCATCTTTGGGTTCCAAAATCCTGACATTATTTATGAAAGCTCATATTGCTCAGTAAAAAGAAAGGCCAGGTGGAGTCTGAAGAGGAGCATTTCTTTGAGCAGGCCATATATCGAGAGTGTTTTGGTAGGGATGCTAACAAAACTCAGATATGTACAGCACTTCCAAAAGTATTCATACATACAAAGTCCTATTTTGTAACATTACAACCTAAACAAAAAAAAACCAAAAAGAGTTATGGCTATCATGTTAAGATCAAAAACCTGCAGAAGGTGTTGTCCATTTATTAAATGAAATATATATATATTAATATATATTAACAGTTGTAAACAATGCAGCGTGTTAATATATATTAACACGTTTGTGGAACAAAGATCCTGCGACTACAGCTGCAAGTCTTTTAGTGATGTGGAACCAGCATTCTTTGCAAATAAATGTAACTAGTCAAATAGAACAGAGTTTCTCTGGATACAGATTTTCAATTCCCAGATCGCAGTTTGATTTGGATCTAGACCTTGACTTTTTGTTTGTGTTTACGTATCTGTCAGAGCATCTATAATCGAGTTCTAGGCCGCCTGTGGAGCTGGTTGACAGTTGCCTTTTGTATCTATGCTTCTTTTTCTATGTCTGCTTCTGTCTCCTTGAACCCCAGTGGGCCTCAGCAGATTGCCGCTCACACTGAGCCTGGTTCTGCTGGAGGTTTCTTCCTGTTCAAAGGGAGTTTTTCCTCTCCACTGTCGCTACAAGCATGCTTAGTGCTTAGAAATAAACTGAATAGAATTGAACAACTGGACAATTTGGGGTGCAACAATCCATGTAGATTAAAAACACAGTTTTGCAATTATTATGAGCTTCCTTTTTTTTATGATAATAATAATATACAACAATAATACGTTTTATTTATCAGCACTTTTGATAAAAATCAATATACACTATATTGCCAAAAGTATTTGCTCACCTGCCTTGACTCACATATGAGCTTAAGTGACATCCCGTTCCTAATCCATAGGGTTCAATATGACGTCGGTCCACCCTTTGCAGCTAGAACAGCTTCAACTCTTCTGGGAAGGCTGTCCACAAGGTTTAGGAGTGTGTTTATGGGAATTTTTGACCATTCTTCCAGAAGCGCATTTGTGAGGTCGCACACTGATGTTGGACGAGAAGGCCTGGCTCTCAGTCTCCGCTCTAATTCATCCCAAAGGTGTTCTATCGGGTTGAGGTCAGGACTCTGTGCAGGCCAGTCAAGTTCATCCACACCAGACTCTGTCATCCATGTCTTTATGGACCTTGCTTTGTGCACTGGTGCACAGTCATGTTGGAAGAGGAAGGGGCCAGCTCCAAACTGTTCCCACAAAGTTGGGAGCATGGAATTGTCCAAAATGTCTTGGTATGCTGAAGCATTCAGAGTTCCTTTCACTGGAACTAAGGGGCCAAGCCCAGCTCCTGAAAAACAACCCCACACCATAATCCCCCCTCCACCAAACTTTACACTTGGCACAATGCAGTCAGACAAGTACCGTTCTCCTGGCAACCGCCAAACCCAGACCCGTCCATCAGATTGCCAGATGGAGAAGCGCGATTCGTCACTCCAGAGAACGCGTCTCCACTGCTCTAGAGTCCAGTGGCGGCGTGCTTTACACCACCGCATCCGACGCTTTGCATTGCACTTGGTGATGTATGGCTTGGATGCAGCTGCTCGACCATGGAAACCCATTCCATGAAGCTCTCTGCGCACTGTTCTTGAGCTAATCTGAAGGCCACATGAAGTTTGGAGGTCTGTAGTGATTGACTCTGCAGAAAGTTGGCGACCTCTTCGCACTATGCGCGTCAGCATCTGCTGACCCCGCTCCGTCAGTTTACGTGGCCTACCACTTCGTGGCTGAGTTGCTGTCGTTCCCAAACACTTCCATTTTCTTATAATACAGCTGACAGTTGACTGTGGAATATTTAGGAGCGAGGAAATTTCACGACTGGATTTGTTGCACAGGTGGCATCCTATCACAGTTCCACGCTGGAATTCACTGAGCTCCTGAGAGCGACCCATTCTTTCACAAATGTTTGTAAAAACAGTCTGCATGCCTAGGTGCTTGAATTTATACACCTGTGGTCATGGAAGTGATTGGAACACCTGATTCCAATAATTTGGATGGGTGAGCAAATACTTTTGGCAATATAGTGTATTTTAAAAAGGTTATTGAGAGCTTTAGAACTCGGAGGATCTTGAAGTGGATCTGCTGCTTTATGGAGCTATTTAAGGTGCAGTTTAACAAACTTCAGTTTGTACCTGACTGTAACACAGTGCCTCACCCCCCCACCCACCCCAGCACCAGGGTGAAAACTGTTTCCAACTTTGTTCTGATCAGTATAACACCAAACTATTGCTCAAGCATGTCATGTGATTGAATGTAATCATGTTTTTTTTGCTAGGTTCACCTATCCTAGGGTCAATGGGCAGGAGGAGAGTAAATCCTTATCATATCATCAGTCCAATGATCAAAAAGTGTTTTTTTTTAAACAGTGTCCTGTCTGGCAATAAGGCAATAAGAATAATTGTCTTGATGCCAAAAAGAGTCTTACATAGTGTTCCATTTGATTTATGCATATAAATAGCTTTATTATATCATGTAGAGAGTTTTACAGGTTCTATGGACGCTGCAATATAAATAGAACAGGAAAGTGAAAACAGAAAAAAGAGAAAAGATGAAAGAAAGAGGAGATAAAAGGGAGATAATGATAAAACATCTTCAGTCTGCTTCATCACCTGCAGAGATGGAAAAAGAACAGCACAACCAACGGATATGGTACAAGATATACAATAAAGTAACACCTAGATACTATCGCTGAAGTATAAGTAGTATTATTTAATCTGACATGTATACTGTGGTAACTGAAGATCAGAATATGGGCTTTCTGTGTGGAAGTGAATCTCTAAGTTCCTGGAACTTAGAGATTGTTTGTAGTTGTTTGTGGTAGCTGCACTGCTGCATGTAAAGTTTATCCAAAGGAAAAATGCTCCATAGTGGCTGTGAGGAGCTGAAAAGGCTGAATATTTGTTTACAGCTGTTCTATGAAATGTGTTAATAGATGTAAACCACTACCTGGAAATAAAGCTTTTTATTTCTCTGTGAATTTGTTCATTGGAACTAATTAATATTTGTTTAATTTCCATCCAGCGGTAGAAATCAGCTGCACCTTTAATTCTGCCAGTTAAACTGAATCCACATAGGAGGACTCTTATTTCCTTATAAGAGCTACTGGAAAAAACAGGTTGGAATATTAGGAGTATTGCAGTAAGGGGCTAAATGCCCATGATTAGACCTCTTCAAAAAATAAAACCTTTTGATTTTCATAGCAGACTGGAAGATTTCCCATTCTTTGGAACCTGACAAGTTAAAAAATAACAATAATTTTGTTCTCAGGTGATGCTTCTGCTGCCCCAAAGGCCCTCAAGTTACAACGTCTGGATAACGAAACATATTTTTAGGGGGCAGGGTAGAGAATTTAGCTCTAACTTATAAAAAAAAAAAATAGACTTAGAAAGTTGGCAATAATACCTTTAAAAGCTAATAAAATTAGGAAGTTAGGAAAAATAGGAAATTGTCTTAGTTTTTTTCTGGTGTTACTGCATCAAAATGTATAATAATCAAATGTGCCCGACGCCCAACATTTGGAGTTTACGTAATTTAATGGATTCAACAAGAGTAAAGAAAATACCACTGCTTTTGTACAAAGTATAAACAAAGAAAATAACTATTTTAATCAGAGTTTACTTCTACATTAGGATTTTTTTAATTTATAACAATTTTTAATCAAGAAAACTGTCTTTGTCTTAAAATATGTAATCTAAAAATGTATACAAATAAAACAAATAGTATATATTTTTACATGGATTGGTAGAGAATTTTATTAGCTTTTAAATGATATCATTGCCAACTTGAAAGTCTATTTTTTAGAAGTTATAGGATAATTTTCTACCCTGCCTCTAAAAATATGACGGTGTTTCGTTATCTAGACGTTATAACTTGGCAGAAGATCGTCTGAGAACAAAATGATTTTTACCTTAAAAGAATAGTAAATCGTCCTGCAATAAAAATACATTTTTTTATTTTTTGAAGAGCTCTAACCTATACTATAAAAGTTAGATTAGAAATTAGAAAAAGAAATTAAAATCCTATAAAATATATGTGTACATTTACAGACCTTGGTTTTGTTTTTAAATGAACAGGTTCAACAGCTTCCATATTGATGTCCTTCCTCTGTTCATCTCAGGCTGGAGCGCAGCAACGATGTCCTCGAAAGACAAGTGGCCGTCCTGCGGCTCAGTCTGGAGCAGCAGAGGAGAAGCCAGAGCGTCGCTGAGATCAAAATCAGAAACATGGAGAGAGCCAAAGCAGACGCAGAGCGCTGGAACACCTCCCTGCAGAAAGAGATGGAGCTGTTCTTCAGGAGATACGGAGAAATACGCAGAAGAGGAGGAGAGCTGGGAAGGAGGGGTGGAGGAAGTATCTGAAAGTCAGAACGCCACTTTCTGTCAGCAGGACTGAAGGGAAGCTTCAGTTTGTAAAGAGGAGGCGGGTTAGAAACAGCCTGATGAGTGGTATGGTTTAGAGTACCAGTAAAGAAAAAAGAACATAGTTCATACTTTATATGAGATTTGCTTAAAAAAAACTATTATTTCTAGTATTCTAAGGCAACTTGGTCACCAAACTAAAGAAAGCTCTAGATTCTCAGCAGAAAACTTCCACCTAACGCTGCCCAACCTTCTATGATGGTTTGTGAGGCGAGACGATCCAGCAACAGCCTGGTAAAGCTATTGCTTCTGAGGGCAAATCTGCAAGCTTCTCCTAAATCAGGGGTGGATGATTCCAGGTCCTGATGGCCGCTATCCTGCAACTGCTAGATGGGAGTTTGGTTCATCACACCTGAATCAAGTAATTAGATGATAGAGGGGACTCTGGAGGAACCTGATCTCTGTTTAATGGATCGCTGATTGACCATAGAACGGGGTTGGAGCGAAGCCACCGGCCGCCATATTGGTACTCCCTAGTTAGACCAGTCGCAATGTAAACAATCTGTGCGCTGCAGCAGGCATCCCCAACTTTGGTCCTCCAGGCCCGCTGTCCTGCAGGTTTTACAGGTTTCCTTTGCTCCAGCACATGTGATTTTAATTGAACGCTTATTAACAGGCTTTTGGTCTACTGCTGCCTTGCAGCAAGAAGGTTCCAGGTTTGATTCCCGGTCCAGAGTCTCCAGCTTCCTCCTGCAGACCAAAAACCTGACTGTTAGGTTACCGTAATTGGCTTCTCTAAATGCTTCTTAGGTGAGAGTGTGTGAATGGTTGTTTGTCCTCTTTGTCTCTGTGTTTCCCTGCGATGGACTGGAGACCTGTCCAGGGTGGACCCCGCCTCCTGCCCATAGACAGCTCGAGATAGGCACCAGCGCCCCTCATGACTCCACTCGGGATAAGCGTGCTAGAAATGGATGGATGGTCTACTGCAATCTTTAATATCAGCTGTGCTAAAGCAGGGAAAACCTGCAGGACAGCGGGCCTCCAGGACCGGGGTTGGGGATGCCTGCACTACAGCATCGAACAACATGATGTTCTCATTTTCAGGGGGACTTCAAATTTTTTAAATAAAGATAAATTCATCACTTTGTCACATACTGGCTGTTTTATAGCATCAGTAGATTAACTTTTACTTAGAATTAAAAAAAAATCAGCCCATCAAATTGCAGAGTCATTATGAAGTCTATAAATCATGTTATATAACATATTATACAAATTAATCACATTAAAATTAATGTGTTAATGGAGCAGAATAATACAGATGAAACAAAGTGCTAAATTGATGATGTTCATGTAATAAACATGGATTGATGACATTGTTATGGTGATTTCATCTTACATGTCTGGTAATGCATGCAACATAATTCTATATATCTATATATATATATAAATATATATGGGTCAAATGCATGAGTATTATTTTTTTTTTTCTCTCAGTATAACATGCGATATATTTCAGCACAGGACTTTTTCAAATGAGAAATACAAACACTACAAAAACAATGGAGGACCCATCCTGCCATAGTTAAAAATAATAATTAAGCATAAAATTAATAGTCAATGTCTTCCAGTCAGTCTGAGATAGCCAGACTAATGTTAGTCTGCAGACTAAACTATAGGATCCATCGGCTATAGATGGATTTATTGCTTAGTTCATCCACTGACTGGGAAATGACCTGAGGAACGTCTTCCTGCAGACAGAAATCTCCTGGTTTTAGCAGCTAAATGCTGCACAGGGAGGCATTTTACTGCACGTCTCTGTGGGAGTGGGGAGTACCAACATGGCGGCCGGTGGCTTCACTTTTTTCAGGCAGTCAGCAATCCAGTGAATAAATGGAGATCAGTGATTGAGGAGGTAACTCAGGTGTGTTGGACCAAGGATGGATCTAAAAGTTGCAGGATACTCGGCCCCAAGAGTTGGAACTGCCCAAATTATAAATTATAGATGCATCTAATAAAACAAAAAAGTTTACTTCAGAAGCTCAATAAGAGTGAAACAAGGGTTATTTTTAAACATTGTGTTTTAAAGTCGTAGAGAAGAGGCTGCTCCAACCGTTGCATTTCTGAATTCTCCCAGTCGTGCCCGACTTTACACGATTGAATAAAGTGAATGTGATTGGTTGATTATTTGGTTGTGGCCGGTTTGTGGGAAGCATCTTGCTAACCAGTTAGCAACTTAGTGCTAGCAGGTTCCCAATGGGAAATTCCATTGGGACCAAGTAGCACTAAATTGGTGACTTAGAAACGACGCTGTCAAGGAACGCTATGGACAGCGGAAACATGCAAGAGGAGGAGAGTTTAGTGTCGGAGGTCGTGGATGAGTCTCCTCCGTCATCCATTTTTTATTTAGAGGAGGAAAGCGGGACGAAGATGTTGTGGAAGAGGACGCCAGGGCGGCAGAAGCTTGGTTTGGTGTAGAAGGCTTCCAGCCGTACATGTTTGAGCCCTTGCCTCGCAACGCTGCCAGTTCTGTTAGCTCTACGCCTGCCGAAGACACAGACGTCCATCCCCGTGAACACTGGGACGCAACTCAATGGGAAAGGAAAGGATTCTGGTTTCAACCGTTGCGTATATTAGCTGCGACACATGAATCAAGATGCTATGACCGAAAACATTTGATTGACAGATGACCGTTGATATATGATTGGCTGAATTTAGGTGTTCAGGCTGAGGTAGAACTAACTGGCCTGCAGAAGATAACGGAAAAAAAACAAAAACATTTTTTAAGACAGGATTTGTTTAAAAATAGAAATGTTCTAAATTTTGGGACAATCTGGTCTGATAAAGAGAACATTTATATACATGTTTAAGCCAGAATTATTTAACCTAAATATGGTTTCCCTACAACTTTAAGCTGAAGGAAAAATAAGTCAAAATATATACCATGAAATTAAATCTTAATTTACTGAGATGCTTGAACGTCTCCTCATATCATGTCCAAACCGGACCGTTACGGCTGGGCCTTTAATATCTGGTACTGCATTGAAGATTTTTTTTATATACTATAAACATCTATAACTGTTAAATAAATCTATTACTGTTGTCTTTGCATGATACAGACTTTTCTAACAACCAATTTTAACTCAACTTGTTTTAATTTTAGCCACTGAATCAAACAGCAATTAAATGAAGACTGACAGCAGGATTCCCAGCAGGCTATGATGAGATCCAGATCTTCCTCTTTATCATGAAGTGCCAATGACATTTATTAAAATAAAGTTCTTAAAACCCCAATAAATAAAAGCTCAGAGTCGTGGCTCCTTTCGGACGAGAGTGGAATATTTATTGAGCTCACCTGTATGCACTCACAATCAGAAACACTGAGTCACGCCTACAGAGAGAACATCTAATGGTGATGCTTCAGTCCCATTAAAGGGGGGGGGGGGGGGTCACACTGACCACTAAGTTCTTGTAAACATAAACGCTACGATCTAATTACCAACAGGTACACACATACAAACATTAACAGTTCGTGACGACAGAACGACAGCGTCTGAAGGTCACAGCAGTAACAGCTCATTAACTTTCAGGAATTTGAACTTAAATCACCAGAGAATAATTATTTGCTTTATAAAGAAAAAAAAAAGGTGCAAGAGTGGAAACAAGAGCCGGATCAAAAACCTAAGTGCTTCGTTAAACACGCTCTGCATGCATCCTCTTACAGAAACCTTTTATTTTATGTCAACTATCAGCTGCAAACAAGGAAACAAATCATTTTAAATACATTTTCCTGGTGATGAACGCAGGAAGTTTCTCAGGCAGCCGAACACAGAGCTGCTGTCAGATGCATGATCAAGATAAAACATTTTAGTTTCAGTCGATTCACTCAGCAGTTTATAAACTCCAAACAGGTTTAAAAACAAAAAACAATCCTTCAAATGGAAACTACAGATAAACGGTTCTGGTTTTTATGGTTTTTATTCTCTAACAGCTTTGAGCTCTGACATATTTCAGAGAGAAAATGAGGATTTTATTTTTCCACTCTGGATTTCTCCATCCTTCTGATTTCTCTTAAATCTGTACAACAACTAAAATAAAAGATTATTTCATTCCTTTGATCCTGAGACGACCTTTACAGCATACAGGGAATCATTTTATGCTTTATTGTTTGGTCAACACTTCAATGATTCGCCTCCAAAGCAAGGCCGATTAAACAGCTTCTAATGGGGATAAAGTGCATTTAAATAGGACCACATGTTAACGTCTGCTGAACTAAACCGACACAAACCTGCAGCCTGATTTCAAATGGATTTAATCAAAGCTTCAGAAAAAAAAGATGTGATTTTAGAGCAAAGCAACAATTAGCACAGTTGGATTTGTCTTTCTATATATTGCGGTTTGGGTGGAAATTCAAAGGAAGGAGTTATGGTAGCTATCAAAGGTCCCATGAAAAGCATTTTTTTTGGTAGCAAAAACCAAAATGACATGAATAGAACAAACTTCAGGGGACTGAAAGCAGATGGATGATAAACGCTGCAACCAGCAGATCCTTCTGTAACACTAACAGTGCAAAGCTTCACCGTTTCACACTGCAGTAATTTAAAGGAACTTCTATCCTCAAATATGGCTATATGACTCAGATAAGTGTTACCTAGCAACAGTCAGAGGCCCTGATTGGTCATATTACATATCAATGAATATAGATTGGAAAAAAAAAAAAATCAGGAAATTACATTTTCCATCTGATTTGACTATAACTATAATGAGCATTTGTGTAAATCATGATGTAAAATGGTCTGTGGATGAGATTCAACGCCGAAATGAAAGTATGAAGGAATGAAATGAGTGAACAAAAATCAGTGAAAGCTGAAAAAACCTGAAAGATGAAAATACTCAACATAATAAAGAAGGTAACAGCAAACTAAAACAGCTTAAACACGAGCTGATTGAAACGCTGCGGGAACACCAGTGGGAGGAGAGAAGACGCTTCATCGTGTTTGAGCTGCTCGATGGTCTGAAGGAAGGAAAACCTTTAGCTGGAGGTCAGCTGACCACTTTTTAAACATTACAGTTCATCTATTTGCTCTCAGAGGAAATTTAAAGTTTGGTTTCCTTTCTGAAAGAATGTTACTAACCCAGGGACTCGTCTAGAAACATTTTGGTCTGAATAGAGTCGGTTTTCTTCCCAATATAAAGCAGACATGAACATGAAATGAGCAAAAAACAAACATTTCTCTTTGGAAGAAGTTTCCACTCTAAGACAGTTAAACCTGGAAGCTAGATGGCGGACGATAAGACCGGGCTCGTTTCATGGGACCTTGGCAGCACTGGAGGTCACGACCTCAGAAGCCGGACGGCGTCAGGATGTTCATGTCTCGGTGTTTGAGCTTGTGCGGCCGCGCTCCCTGCCGCCTGCCCTCCATGGTGGGGATCTCCATCTGAGGCGGATTAACTCTCTGGGGGTTGTCTGCCAGCCGTGTGGCCTGGGACTTCATCACCTCCATGGGGGTGGGTTTCTGGGCTCCACGGTACGCCTGGATGGCAAAGCCTGCTGGGAAAGAGACGCCGGACTCAACAGCTGCGTACGGATGATCGAATCTGACAGTTTCAGCTGCTGATTTATAGCTGCCTGAGAGAACTTACAGCAGCAGCATCTCAGAATTTTGAATTGTTTGAATTTATTTAATCAAGTGTGGAATATCAAATCATCAATCAGAATATAAAGTTAAACTTTTTTCACTAGAAGGTTTAAGTAGAATTTAAACTAGCAACCTGCCTAAAGCTGCCCATATCTTCAGCCAGAGGACATCAGCTGGGAAAGCATCTGAAGCTTAAAGAGCTGCATCCAGGACACCATCTACAAGCTGATTGGTTATCTGGAAATGATCCAGAACTCAAACATTTAGGTCTGTCATGAAAACAAGGATAAAATAAAAAATCCCCACACTCATTGTTTAGTATGGTGGAGGATCTATGATGCTGTGGGTATTTTCCCATAGCAGGACATCATGAGCTCTGAAGTACGGAGAGTTTTAGGTCAAACTCTGCTAATAAAATGAGGCTGGAGGGAAAATGGCCAAATTCAAAGTTCATTAACGGCCATCGGAGCCTACAGGCCGCCATCTTTTAGAAAACCTT